ACAGCTGGCTTTAACTTTTCAATAAATTTAATTTACGTGTTTTGTTTCGGGAAGAGGACTGAGCAATGGCCACGCACTTTATTAGGGTGACTGATAATTCAGCAATGAGCCTAACCAAAACTAGACGTACTCTGGGCTTCCCCCAATTTCAGCAGTCCACTGATTATGGGCCTGACCTCAATGAATTTTATTTTTTTTCCTTTTTAAATGTCTTTTAAAGTTGAGCTAATTTTCCTTTCCACTAATACTTAAATTTTATATCACAAACAAAAATTAAAACTGACGGTCAGAATTAGGCCATATAGAAAACGGTCAGGATCTATACTTCCCTTTTTTAAGAAAAAAGTAATAATAAAGCTCCAAAAATCAAATACTCATATCAAAAATGAAGGGACACCATGAAAGTAATGATGTTTAAATTCAACTAAGAAATCATATATATACGTGCATCAAAAAAAAAAAAATCAAATATATACAATACAATACATTGTCTTTATAAATGGATCTCAATGAACCTGCACCGCTAAAATTCAAGTTTCAGGCAGCAAAAAGTCCTCTTGGAAGAACAAAGACATCTCCCTCGTTTCAAAGGATCCGGAGCTGTGCAAGGAACGTGGCACAAAAGTCTAAAAACACAAATTGTGGCCCTTGAACCCTTTGTAGATCCAGCAGGTACTTCTCCACCCGAGTTTTATAAAGCTGTTAACAACAATGCAACCAAAACATGTTAGCATTCAATTGGTAATTTGACAACTTCTGCCATAAATTTATCTACTGGAGGGAAGGTTTCTGAAAACAACTACCAAATAACAATCCAGTCATCCATTACTGCCATTTAAATGACTTGCAAGACCAATAATCACAAGGAGCTTTCTCAGATAGGCATTACCTGCAGCTCAAACTTGACGATATTTGGTGATTGAATAATCCCACCATTCTCAATAATGCTTGATTCATCACCAAAATAATGACTACTGTGCACAGCATTGTTAACCATGCCTTCAAGATGACCAGGGATGCCAGGAATGCACCTGCACTTCATGTTGTAGTGCCCTATCTTCTTCCAGCACACATTCAATTCCTGCAGTGCTTTGAGAACTTCTGTCATAATTTCACGAGGATGTGCTTGAGACTGCAGAACAATGGATAAAATAATTATCAGTGATAATCAAAGGATAGACACTAAACATGTGCTCCACACTAAAGGGAGCCAGAAATATCTCATAAACTTCTCTAAATGGTTACAATGTCTTTAAGATTAACCTGCAGTATGAACCTCCTAATCTTTTCCTAGAAATGACTGAGAACAAGAGTTAATACAAGTGGTTACAATGTCATATATCGTGTGAACATTTTTTATTAGATAAATAATAAAATTAATATTAATTTTTGTTTTTATTATATATAATAATAATATTTAAAAATTAAAATATTTTTATATTAAAATATTAAAATATTTAATAATAATTATATAATAAATTTAATAAAATTTAAACTTATATTATGCTTTATCTGCTTAATTATTGTAATTAAATATATTGATATTTTTAATATTAAAATTTTAGAATTTTTTATAAAAATATAATAAACACACCAAAATTTAAATTTAATTTACGCGTTTTGTGTTTGGGAAAGGATTGGACCGGTGGCCATGCACTCTATTAGGTTGACTCATTATTAGGGGTGAGTGTTCAGTATGAATGCACCTTTTTCTTTTTATTTAGAAGTATTTTATCTGTCTAAATAAATATCATACTTAAATTATTTATAAAAAAAAGAGTAAAAAATAGACATAAAAATAATATATTTATAAATATTAAATTAAAAATAAATATAAAAATTTAAAATTATTTATTTAACTTTTTTAATTAACTTATTTAATTGATTCATTATATATAATAACGAGAATAACGTGATTCTCAAGACCATTTGAAAAAATATAAATGTTAACTTTCTTTAATAAAATAATAATAAGGAAAGTTAGGTTTATCATTTGTAAACCCAACT